CAACAACTGAAGCCACAACAACAGCAGCTCCAACCACTGAGGCAACAACGACACCTTCGCCAACAACAACTGGTGCAACAACAACAGAATCTCCAGCAACTGAAGCAACAACGACCCCTGCTCCAACAACTGAGTCAACAACAACCCCTGCCCCAACAACAAATGAAGCAACAACAACATCTTCTCCAGCAACTGAAGAGACGATGACACCATCCCCGACAACAACTGAATCAACTACAAGTGCTCCAACAACTGAAGAAACGACACCTGCTCCAACAACTGAGTCAACAACGACCGCTGCCCCAACAACAAATGAAGCAACAACAACATCTTCTCCAGCAACTGAAGCAACGATGACACCTGCCCCGACAACAACTGAATCAACTACAAGTGCTCCAACAAGTGAAGAAACGACACCTGCTCCAACAACTGAGTCAACAACGACCCCTGCCCCAAAAACAAATGAAGCAACAACGACATCTTCTCCAACAACAAATGACGCAACTACGACATCTTCTCCAGCAACTGAAGCAACAACGACCCCTGCCCCAACAACAACTGAAGTAACGATGACACCTGCTCCAACATCTGAGACAACAACTACACCTGCCCCGACAACAACTGTGGAAACAACTACAACTGCTCAAACAACTGAGGAAACAAAAATACCTGCTCCAACTGAGGCAACCACGACACCTGTCCCGACAACAACTGAAGCCACAACAACAGCAGCTCCAACGACTGAGGCAACAACGACACCTTCGCCAACAACAACTGGTGCAACAACGACAGAATCTCCAACAACTGAGGCAACAACGACCCCTGCCCCAACAACAAATGAATCAACAACAACATCTTCTCCAGCAACTGAAGCAACGATGACACCTGCCCCGACAACAACTGAATCAACTACAAGTGCTCCAACAACTGAAGAAACGACACCTGCTCCAACAACTGAGTCAACAACGACACCAGCTCCAACAACTGAAGCAACGATGACACCTGCCCCGACAACAACTGAATCAACTACAAGTGCTCCAACAACTGAAGAAACGACACCTGCTCCAACAACTGAGTCAACAACGACCCCTGCCCCAACAATAAATGAAGCAAAAACAACATCTTCTCTAGAAACTGAAGCAACGATGACACCTGCCCCGACAACAAATGATTCAACAAAAACATCTTCTCCAGACACTGAAGCAACAATGACACCTGCCTTGACAACAACTGAATCAACTACAAGTGCTCCAACAACTGAAGAAACCTCACCTGCTCCAACAACTGAGGCAACAACGACACCAGCTCCAACAACTGAAGCGACGATGACACCTGCCATTACAACAACTGAATCAAGTACAACTGCTCCAACAACTGAAGAAACGACACCTGCTCAAACAACTGAGTCAACAACGACCCCTGCCCCAAAAACAAATGAAGCAACAACGACATCTTCTCCAACAACAAATGACGCAACAACGACATCTTCTCCAGCAACTGAAGCAACAACGACCCCTGCCCCAACAACAACTGAAGTAACAACTACAAGTGCTCCAACAACTGAAGAAACGATGACACCTTCTCCAACATCTGAGACAACAACTACACCTGCCCCGACAACAACTCTGGAAACAACTACAACTGCTCAAACAACTGAGGAAACAAAAATACCTGCTCCAACTGAGGCAACCACGACACCTGTCCCGACAACAACTGAAGCCACAACAACAGCAGCTCCAACCACTGAGGCAACAACGACACCTTCGCCAACAACAACTGGTGCAACAACAACAGAATCTCCAGCAACTGAAGCAACAACGACCCCTGCTCCAACAACTGAGTCAACAACAACCCCTGCCCCAACACAAATGAAGCAACAACAACATCTTCTCCAGCAACTGAAGAGACGATGACACCATCCCCGACAACAACTGAATCAACTACAAGTGCTCCAACAACTGAAGAAACGACACCTGCTCCAACAACTGAGTCAACAACGACCGCTGCCCCAACAACAAATGAAGCAACAACAACATCTTCTCCAGCAACTGAAGCAACGATGACACCTGCCCCGACAACAACTGAATCAACTACAAGTGCTCCAACAAGTGAAGAAACGACACCTGCTCCAACAACTGAGTCAACAACGACCCCTGCCCCAAAAACAAATGAAGCAACAACGACATCTTCTCCAACAACAAATGACGCAACTACGACATCTTCTCCAGCAACTGAAGCAACAACGACCCCTGCCCCAACAACAACTGAAGTAACGATGACACCTGCTCCAACATCTGAGACAACAACTACACCTGCCCCGACAACAACTGTGGAAACAACTACAACTGCTCAAACAACTGAGGAAACAAAAATACCTGCTCCAACTGAGGCAACCACGACACCTGTCCCGACAACAACTGAAGCCACAACAACAGCAGCTCCAACGACTGAGGCAACAACGACACCTTCGCCAACAACAACTGGTGCAACAACGACAGAATCTCCAACAACTGAGGCAACAACGACCCCTGCCCCAACAACAAATGAATCAACAACAACATCTTCTCCAGCAACTGAAGCAACGATGACACCTGCCCCGACAACAACTGAATCAACTACAAGTGCTCCAACAACTGAAGAAACGACACCTGCTCCAACAACTGAGTCAACAACGACACCAGCTCCAACAACTGAAGCAACGATGACACCTGCCCCGACAACAACTGAATCAACTACAAGTGCTCCAACAACTGAAGAAACGACACCTGTTCCAACAACTGAGTCAACAACGACCCCTGCCCCAACAATAAATGAAGCAAAACAACATCTTCTCTAGCAACTGAAGCAACGATGACACCTGCCCGACAACAAATGAATCAACTACAAGTGCTCCAACAACTGAAGAAACGACACCTGCTCCAACAACTGAGTCAACAACGACACCAGCTCCAACAACTGAAGCAACGATGACACCTGCCCCGACAACAACTGAATCAACTACAAGTGCTCCAACAACTGAAGAAACGACACCTGTTCCAACAACTGAGTCAACAACGACCCCTGCCCCAACAATAAATGAAGCAAAAACAACATCTTCTCTAGCAACTGAAGCAACGATGACACCTGCCATGACAACAACTGAATCAAGTACAACTGCTCCAACAACTGAAGAAACGACACCTGCTCAAACAACTGAGGCAACAACGACCCCTGCCCCAAAAACAAATGAAGCAACAACGACATCTTCTCCAACAACAAATGACGCAACAACGACATCTTCTCCAGCAACTGAAGCAACAACGACCCCTGCCCAAACAACAACTGAAGTAACAACTACAAGTGCTCCAACAACTGAAGAAACGATGACACCTTCTCCAACATCTGAGACAACAACTACACCTGCCCCGACAACAACTCTGGAAACAACTACAACTGAGGAAACAAAATACCTGCTCCAACTGAGGCAACCACGACACCTGTCCCGACAACAACTGAAGCCACAACAGCAGCTCGAACCACTGAGGCAACAACGACACCTTCGCCAACAACACTGGTGCAACAACAACAGAATCTCCAGCAACTGAAGCAACAACGACCCCTGCTCCAACAACTGAGTCAACAACAACCCCTGCCCCAACAACAAATGAAGCAACAACAACATCTTCTCCAGCAACTGAAGAGACGATGACACCATCCCCGACAACAACTGAATCAACTACAAGTGCTCCAACAACTGAAGAAACGACACCTGCTCCAACAACTGAAGAAACGACACCTGCTCCAACAACTGAGTCAACAACGACCGCTGCCCCAACAACAAATGAAGCAACAACAACATCTTCTCCAGCAACTGAAGCAACGATGACACCATCCCCGACAACAACTGAATCAACTACAAGTGCTCCAACAACTGAAGAAACGACACCTGCTCCAACAACTGAGTCAACAACGACCCCTGCCCCAAAACAAATGAAGCAACAACGACATCTTCTCCAACAACAAATGACGCAACAACGACATCTTCTCCAGCAACTGAAGCAACAACGACCCCTGCCCCAACAACAACTGAAGTAACGATGACACCTGCTCCAACATCTGAGACAACAACTACACCTGCCTTGACAACAAATGAAGCAACAACAACATCTTTTCCAGCAACTGAAGCAACGATGGCACCTGCCCCGACAACAACTGAATCAACTACAAGTTCTCCAACAACTGAAGAAACGACACCTGCTCCAACAACTGAGTCAACAACGACACCAGCTCCAACAACTGAAGCAACGATGACACCTGCCCCGACAACAACTGAATCAACTACAAGTGCTCCAACAACTGAAGAAACGACACCTGCTCCAACAACTGAGTCAACAACGACCCCTGCCCCAACAACAAATGAATCAAAAACAACATCTTCTCTAGCAACTGAAGCAACGATGACACCTGCCCCGACAACAAATGATTCAACAAAAACATCTTCTCCAGGCACTGAAGCAACAATGACACCTGCCTTGACAACAACTGAATCAACTACAAGTGCTCCAACAACTGAAGAAACCACACCTGCTCCAACAACTGAGGCAACAACGACACCAGCTCCAACAACTGAAGCGACGATGACACCTGCCATTACAACAACTGAATCAAGTACAACTGCTCCAACAACTGAAGAAACGACACCTGCTCAAACAACTGAGTCAACAACGACCCCTGCCCCAAAAACAAATGAAGCAACAACGACATCTTCTCCAACAACAAATGACGCAACAACGACATCTTCTCCAGCAACTGAAGCAACAACGACCCCTGCCCCAACAACAACTGAAGTAACAACTACAAGTGCTCCAACAACTGAAGAAACGATGACACCTTCTCCAACATCTGAGACAACAACTACACCTGCCCCGACAACAACTCTGGAAACAACTACAACTGCTCAAACAACTGAGGAAACAAAAATACCTGCTCCAACTGAGGCAACCACGACACCTGTCCCGACAACAACTGAAGCCACAACAACAGCAGCTCCAACCACTGAGGCAACAACGACACCTTCGCCAACAACAAATGACGCAACAACGACATCTTCTCCAGCAACTGAAGCAACAACGACCCCTGCCCCAACAACAACTGAAGTAACAACTACAAGTGCTCCAACAACTGAAGAAACGATGACACCTTCTCCAACATCTGAGACAACAACTACACCTGCCCCGACAACAACTGTGGAAACAACTACAACTGCTCAAACAACTGAGGAAACAAAAATACCTGCTCCAACTGAGGCAACCACAACACCTGTCCCGACAACAACTGAAGCCACAACAACAGCAGCTCCAACCACTGAGGCAACAACGACACCTTCGCCAACAACAACTGGTGCAACAACAACAGAATCTCCAGCAACTGAAGCAACAACGACCCCTGCTCCAACAACTGAGTCAACAACAACCCCTGCCCCAACAACAAATGAAGCAAAAACAACATCTTCTCCAGCAACTGAAGCAACGATGACACCATCCCCGACAACAACTGAATCAACTACAAGTGCTCCAACAACTGAAGCCACAACAATTGCAGCTCCAACAACTGAGGAAACAACGACACCTTCGCCAACAACAACTGAGGCAACGACAGAAACTCCAACAACTGAGGCAACGACATCTTCGCCGACAACAAATGAAGCAACAACGACATCTTCTCCAAGAACTGAAGCAACGATGACACCATCCCCGACAACAACTGAATCAACTACAAGTGCTCCAACAACTGAAGAAACGACACCTGCTCCAACAACTGAGTCAACAACGACCGCTGCCCCAACAACAAATGAAGCAACAACAACATCTTCTCCAGCAACTGAAGCAACGATGACACCTGCCCCGACAACAACTGAATCAACTACAAGTGCTCCAACAACTGAAGAAACGACACCTGCTCCAACAACTGAGTCAACAACGACCGCTGCCCCAACAACAAATGACGCAACAACGACATCTTCTCCAGCAACTGAAGCAACAACGACCCCTGCCCCAACAACAACTGAAGTAACAACTACAAGTGCTCCAACAACTGAAGAAACGATGACACCTTCTCCAACATCTGAGACAACAACTACACCTGCCCCGACAACAACTGTGGAAACAACTACAACTGCTCAAACAACTGAGGAAACAAAATACCTGCTCCAACTGAGGCAACCAAGACACCTGTCCCGACAATAACTGAAGCCACAACAACAGCAGCTCCAACCACTGAGTCAACAACAACCCCTGCCCCAACAACAAATGAAGCAACAACAACATCTTCTCCAGCAACTGAAGCAACGATGACACCATCCCCGACAACAACTGAATCAACTACAAGTGCTCCAACAACTGAAGAAACGACACCTGCTCCAACAACTGAGTCAACAACGACCCCTGCCCCAACAACAAATGAAGCAACAACAACATCTTCTCCAGCAACTGAAGCAACGATGACACCTGCCCCGACAACAACTGAATCAACTACAAGTGCTCCAACAACTGAAGAAACGACACCTGCTCCAACAACTGAGTCAACAACGACCCCTGCCCCAAAAACAAATGAAGCAACAACGACATCTTCTCCAACAACAAATGACGCAACTACGACATCTTCTCCAGCAACTGAAGCAACAACGACCCCTGCCCCAACAACAACTGAAGTAACGATGACACCTGCTCCAACATCTGAGACAACAACTACACCTGCCCCGACAACAACTGTGGAAACAACTACAACTGCTCAAACAACTGAGGAAACAAAATACTTGCTCCAACTGAGGCAACCACGACACCTGCCCCGACAACACTGAATCAACTACAAGTGCTCCAACAACTGAAGAAACGACACCTGCTCCAACATCTGAGACAACAACTACACCTGCCCTGACAACAACTGTGGAAACAACTACAACTGCTCAAACAACTGAGGAAACAAAAATACCTGCTCCAACTGAGGCAACCACGACACCTCTCCCGACAACAACTGAAGCCACAACAACAGCAGCTCCAACCACTGAGTCAACAACAACCCCTGCCCCAACAACAAATGAAGCAACAACAACATCTTCTCCAGCAACTGAAGCAACGATGACACCATCCCCGACAACAACTGAATCAACTACAAGTGCTCCAACAACTGAAGAAACGACACCTGCTCCAACAACTGAGTCAACAACGACCGCTGCCCCAACAACAAATGAAGCAACAACAACATCTTCTCCAGAAACTGAAGCAACGATGACACCTGCCCCGACAACAACTGAATCAACTACAAGTGCTCCAACAACTGAAGAAACGACACCTGCTCCAACAACTGAGTCAACAACGACCGCTGCCCCAACAACAAATGACGCAACAACGACATCTTCTCCAGCAACTGAAGCAACAACGACCCCTGCCCCAACAACAACTGAAGTAACAACTACAAGTGCTCCAACAACTGAAGAAACGATGACACCTTCTCCAACATCTGAGACAACAACTACACCTGCCCCGACAACAACTGTGGAAACAACTACAACTGCTCAAACAACTGAGGAAACAAAAATACCTGCTCCAACTGAGGCAACCACGACACCTGTCCCGACAATAACTGAAGCCACAACAACAGCAGCTCCAACCACTGAGTCAACAACAACCCCTGCCCCAACAACAAATGAAGCAACAACAACATCTTCTCCAGCAACTGAAGCAACGATGACACCATCCCCGACAACAACTGAATCAACTACAAGTGCTCCAACAACTGAAGAAACGACACCTGCTCCAACAACTGAGTCAACAACGACCCCTGCCCCAACAACAAATGAAGCAACAACAACATCTTCTCCAGCAACTGAAGCAACGATGACACCTGCCCCGACAACAACTGAATCAACTACAAGTGCTCCAACAACTGAAGAAACGACACCTGCTCCAACAACTGAGTCAACAACGACCCCTGCCCCAAAAACAAATGAAGCAACAACGACATCTTCTCCAACAACAAATGACGCAACTACGACATCTTCTCCAGCAACTGAAGCAACAACGACCCCTGCCCCAACAACAACTGAAGTAACGATGACACCTGCTCCAACATCTGAGACAACAACTACACCTGCCCCGACAACAACTGTGGAAACAACTACAACTGCTCAAACAACTGAGGAAACAAAAATACTTGCTCCAACTGAGGCAACCACGACACCTGCCCCGACAACAACTGAATCAACTACAAGTGCTCCAACAACTGAAGAAACGACACCTGCTCCAACATCTGAGACAACAACTACACCTGCCCTGACAACAACTGTGGAAACAACTACAACTGCTCAAACAACTGAGGAAACAAAAATACCTGCTCCAACTGAGGCAACCACGACACCTCTCCCGACAACAACTGAAGCCACAACAACAGCAGCTCCAACCACTGAGTCAACAACAACCCCTGCCCCAACAACAAATGAAGCAACAACAACATCTTCTCCAGCAACTGAAGCAACGATGACACCATCCCCGACAACAACTGAATCAACTACAAGTGCTCCAACAACTGAAGAAACGACACCTGCTCCAACAACTGAGTCAACAACGACCGCTGCCCCAACAACAAATGAAGCAACAACAACATCTTCTCCAGAAACTGAAGCAACGATGACACCTGCCCCGACAACAACTGAATCAACTACAAGTGCTCCAACAACTGAAGAAACGACACCTGCTCCAACAACTGAGTCAACAACGACCCCTGCCCCAAAAACAAATGAAGCAACAACGACATCTTCTCCAACAACAAATGACGCAACTACGACATCTTCTCCAGCAACTGAAGCAACAACGACCCCTGCCCCAACAACAACTGAAGTAACGATGACACCTGCTCCAACATCTGAGACAACAACTACACCTGCCCCGACAACAACTGTGGAAACAACTACAACTGCTCAAACAACTGAGGAAACAAAAATACCTGCTCCAACTGAGGCAACCACGACACCTGCCCCGACAACAACTGAAGCCACAACAACAGCAGCTCCAACCACTGAGGCAACAATGACACATTCGCCAACAACAACTGGTGCAACAATGACAGAATCTCCAACAACTGAGGCAACAACTACACCTGCCTTGACAACAAATGAAGCAACAACAACATCTTTTCCAGCAACTGAAGCAACGATGACACCTGCCCCGACAACAACTGAATCAACTACAAGTTCTCCAACAACTGAAGAAACGACACCTGCTCCAACAACTGAGTCAACAACGACACCAGCTCCAACAACTGAAGCAACGATGACACCTGCCCCGACAACAACTGAATCAAGTACAAGTGCTCCAACAACTGAAGAAACGACACCTGCTCCAACAACTGAGTCAACAACGACCCCTGCCCCAACAACAAATGAAGCAAAAACAACATCTTCTCTAGCAACTGAAGCAACGATGACACCTGCCCCGACAACAAATGATTCAACAAAAACATCTTCTCCAGGCACTGAAGCAACAATGACACCTGCCTTGACAACAACTGAATCAACTACAAGTGCTCCAACAACTGAAGAAACCACACCTGCTCCAACAACTGAGGCAACAACGACACCAGCTCCAACAACTGAAGCGACGATGACACCTGCCATTACAACAACTGAATCAAGTACAACTGCTCCAACAACTGAAGAAACGACACCTGCTCAAACAACTGAGTCAACAACGACCCCTGCCCCAAAAACAAATGAAGCAACAACGACATCTTCTCCAACAACAAATGACGCAACAACGACATCTTCTCCAGCAACTGAAGCAACAACGACCCCTGCCCCAACAACAACTGAAGTAACAACTACAAGTGCTCCAACAACTGAAGAAACGATGACACCTTCTCCAACATCTGAGACCACAACTACACCTGCCCCGACAACAACTCTGGAAACAACTACAACTGCTCAAACAACTGAGGAAACAAAAATACCTGCTCCAACTGAGGCAACCACGACACCTGTCCCGACAACAACTGAAGCCACAACAACAGCAGCTCCAACCACTGAGGCAACAACGACACC